AAAAAAAAAAGAACACACAAAAGGTCAGCATATTATACAGGCCAAAATTATATGTAAATAACCACAAATGACGGGAACATATATCAAATGCGTTGCATAAAAAGGAAGTTAGTAAAAGGGAAACTAAGGGCTGATTCTACGATTGACGGAGGATCAAAGAGGATTCCATATATTTACCGCAATGTCAGAAGTCCAAAGAGTTAAGTTGTCTCGGAGAAGTTGCATGATCAATGTGCTGTCCTTGTATGATTCCTCACCCAATGTGTCAAGTTCAGAGATAGCTTCATCAAAAGCCTGAAAAAGAGTCCACCCATTTCCATAAGTAAAAGATGTGAAAGGTTATAAAATATTAAAAATAAATAAATAAATAAGACAGAAAAGTCATATGCAATGGCCGGACAACAGCTTCTACTGAAAAGAGCAATCATCATATGGATAGGGTGATACAAGCCCAAGAAATGGTAAGAAGTTATCAAACAGATGACTTTTAAGACCACGACAAATAATTAATAAAGAATGTTTAACATAACATCAAATGTGAACTTTTGGAAAGGTACAAAAATTATAGCTTTAGCACCCATCAACTCAACCTTCAGAGAGAAGATACTGAACAAGGATTAAGTTCGGTATGAAATAAAACTACCTACAAAGTAGTGCCAAGGGCCACTGGATTGGATTCAATGAAATTGGGCATGAGATTAACAAGAGACTGCCAAAGAATCACAAATATATGTTCTTCACATACCTGCTTAGCAAGGGCACAAGCACGGTCAGGTGAGTTGAGGATTTCATAGTAGAAGACCGAGAAGTTAAGTGCCAGCCCCAGCCTAATTGGGTGAGTGGGAGCCAATTCAGCCAATGCAATATCCTGCACAGCAAAAAGCAAAGACCAACTCAGAAGATACAAATTAAAAGGGCATCTACCAAACAGATCTGTCCACCTGAAAACAGAAGAATTAATTTCACACTCACCTGTGCAGACTTGTAAGCTAGCAAAGTGCTCTCGGCAGCTTCCTTCCTCTCAGCCCCAGTCTTGAACTCAGCCAAGTACCTATAGTAATCGCCCTTCATCTTCAAGTAGAAAACCTTTGACTCAGCAGACGAGGCAGAAGGAACGAGATGGGACTCGAGAAGCTTCAGAATCCCATCACATATCTTGGTCAGCTCGGCCTCAATCTTGGCCCGATATTCCTTAATAATCTTAACATGGTCATCATTACCACGACCCTCTTCCTTCTGCTCAATGGAGGAGATGATCCTCCAGGATGCCCTCCGAGCGCCAATCACATTCTTGTATGCCACAGAGAGGAGGTTCCTCTCCTCAACAGTCAGCTCTTCAGTGTCCACCGTCTTCACAACCTTCTCCATAAACTCAACCATTTCCTCGTATCTCTCAGCCTGCTCGGCCAACTTGGCCATGTAGACATTTTCTTCTCGGGAAGCATCAGCTGGCGACATCTTGCTATGTGATCACTAGATTCAACCTGTTGAAATGAATTACGTGTTTATCGGATTGTAAAGAATTTATAGTTTCGAGTAATGTCAAAAGAATTTCAGTTAAGGTTTGTCCCGATGTCAAACATCATCAAGTGGGTGCATTCCATATACTCTAACAAAACAATACTCAGATTTATCATATGAAGAATCATCCTAATCTTTTCGAAAACACATATGATAAGTAAACACCAATTAAATCATCCTAGTCTCTATTTTCTCAACCCCATCTATATCAGAACAACATCAAAATCAATGAATCAACACATGAACAAAAATCCACACACAATCTCTTCGCCCCTTTTTCCTTAAAAACAATTTTGTAACGATTGACCAAACTTCATTATTCCTTAACCGCTAAAAACGAATGAGTGGATCCAGATCATATGCAGAAACAAAGATCAAACAAATTCATCAGGCAAAAGACCTCAGATCTAGGGTTTCAAACCAACAATTGCAACACAAAAAAAAAACGAACAAGAAAAGATCTGGCATAGTAGATCTCAAACAACTGAAGACAGATCAAGCTAATTAAGAAAGAGCATCGAAAGAATTAAGGAAAACGCAATAAAAAAAAAATCGAGACAATAGCAAGCGAAGATCTTACCTGATTTTCGATATCAGAAATGAGGCTGCTTCGGAAAAGTTTTTGCGAGGACTGAGGGTTTAAATAATGAGCGTTGGGGGCTTGGGGAAGGTGCTGTCCAATGAGAACGCGACAGGTGGTGGGTAGTGGCGGAGGTTTGCTATTTTGACTCGTCAAAGCCTTTTATCGTCATTTTTGCCATGATTGTGATGAGGTGTGGATGATTGCTGCGCTGGCAAGCATATAATTTTTTTTCATAACATATCAGATCTATCTATACATACCATAATAATGTTTACACTGGGAATCTCTTGGTTGTCTAATGCACAATCGACCCATAATACTAAAACTTGTACATATTCCGTGTGATTTACGGGACAAATATATTAAATTAGTTATTTTCACAGTCTTATTTATTTAACTCTAAAAAGTAATAATGTTATTATCTATTTTCTACCTCTTTTAATCAACGTTAAATCTATGAACTTATTAAGCCGCCCTCTGGAAAATATGTATGAGTTATGTTTTCGTTTCTCATAAGTCACAAACATTATGAATAATGTTGTAGCAAATTTTATTTTTATTAACCGAGCATCGAATCAAATGATTCGTTTCCCGGGTCGATCTCTCGAGGAAGACGGTTCGGAATCTAATGTTAGTGTTGATAACACATAAAAGGAAAATAAAACCTAAACATTCTAATCAAAAGATTGGTTTTTAATTATTAACTAAGAAATAGCATAAAACATAAATCTACCTAGAAATATAAACGACACAAAAATAAAAAGGCTAGGGAATCGGGAATAAACGTTTTGAATCGAAGTGCAATTATCGACTCATGATCGTTCGGTTAAAGAAGTAGAGTCACCTACATGTTTAGAAGTTCATCCTCAATACCTTTCGGATTATGAGAATAAATATAAACAGTAAATTAATGAATTGTTTCACACATAGACAATACGTCTCCGAACATGTCTATTTTGTATGAGTTTCGATCGATTGACCTTTCCCCTTCCGGATCAAGAGTCGATTAAAATAGACTATAGGATTGTTAGTCATCTAGTCTATTCGTATCGTGATCGTCACAATAGAACACACCATATTCAATTTGAAAACAAGTTTAACATTGAAGTGTCACTTTTCAATACTTAGAAATCAATTGGAAGGTTGAATTGTCACTTTTCAACAATATGTCATTCCAAAGTTAAAATCAAAAACTGAATTTAAAACTAACTCATACAAAGTGAATAATCAACGAGCTCGATAATCACATACGAAATCAAATATTCATTCCCTGTCCCTAGCAAGAGATTTAGCTATGAAACATCAATTCAACACAAATTACAAATAATCTCAATTCAATCATTATTCATGAATTAAAATGAGAAGAACTTACAATTCAATGTTGAATCCAAATTACAAGCTTCCTCCAAATGCAAAAATAAAGAAATAAACAATAAGAACAAAAGAAAATAAAAGAAGAAAAGAAAGAGAGGGAAGGAGGGGGAAGAACCCTCCTTGTTCAATGCATGCAAGGTGAAAATGAGGGAGAAAATAGGATGATTTTCAAACTTGAAAATGCTCCCCTTTTATAGCCAAATGATTCCCCTTCTTGCTTAAGATTAATAGCTGAAAATGTCACTTTGTGGTGTCTTTCACGCCATTGAAGAAGATTGAAAAGATTGGGTACCAACCATCATTAAAAATGAGCTTAAAAATCATAAGTTGGCAGAAAAGGGGGTAGTAGCGCCGCTACTAGGGGGTTAGCGCCGCTACTATGCCGACAGAGGAAAGGTTGCCCCGGCGCTACTTAGCTAGTGTCGCTACTGTGTCGGCAGCTTACATATCATCACGGTTTTTGCTCGTTCGGGCTCGTTTGGACTCGGAATTGAGTTCCGTTTTTTCCTACGCGTAGCTAACGAACCCCTCTATCAAATGGTGTTTGAAAACCACACTTTACCTAGAATCAATTTTTGTGGAATTTCCAACCATTAAAGGGTCGGTAACTTGCTCAACTTTACATTTCGGCCCCGTTTGGATTCATCCGAACTCGAAATCGAATTCGCTTTTTCTCACTTGTCGCCAACTAACTTATCTAGTTAGTTGTTCTTAAATGGGCGAGATCCGAGGTTAATCCAATCCTCACGGGATTTTCGACCTGCACACCAAAAACAAGATATCAGAAAAAATACACGAAAAATACATAAAAACCCAAAATAGATCAAAACACATAATAAATCATAAAAATGAAAAAAAAAACCAATAAAAACTCCTAAAATGAGGAAAAACGAAGAACAAAACAATAAGGAAAAATGCAACAAAAAAAAGCACAAACAACTCCCCCACACTTAACTCTTTGCTTGTCCTCAAGCAAACAAAACAACAAGCAATTCGAGAAGAAAGATCGAAAAGTCCAAAGTTAATAATCATGCGAAATGAAACTCTCGTCTTCCTCCGGTAATCCATAAAACTCAACTCAAATTTGAAAACACGGTTACCACAAAACGAGTTCAAACAAAACAAAAACTCGTCCCAAGTCATTCTACAAATGATTTACTTGATTCAAACTTCTTTTTTTACAAATACACGTGCAAAAAGCTAGAAATGGTTTACTCAATATGTAGGAAACAATAAGAACCAAACCAACAAGTCCAATTCCCTCTTTTTATTATTTTTATTTATTATGAGTCATTTTTCCAAATGAGAGTCGTTAGTACGATAATTACCAAGGTTTACCCTCGGGATTTGTTTCCGAGTGTCCTAGGCCGGTTTCCCAAAAAAAAGATATCAGAAAAAATACACGAAAAATACATAAAAACTCAAAATAGATCAAAACACATAATAAATCATAAAAATGAAAAAAGAAAAACCAATAAAAAGTCCTAAAATGAGGAAAAACGAAGAACAAAACAATAAGGAAAATGCAACAAAAAAAGTACAAACAACTCCCCCACACTTAACTCTTTGCTTGTCCTCAAGCAAACAAAACAACAAGCAATTCGAGAAGAAAGATCGAAAAGTCAAAAGTTAATAATCATGTGAAATGAAACTCTCGTCTTCCTCCGGTTATCCATAAAACTCAACTCAAATTTGAAAACACGGTTACCACAAAATGAGTTCAAACGAAACAAAAACTCGTTCCAAGTTATTCTACAAATGATTTACTTGATTCAAACTTCTTTTTTACAAATACACGTGCAAAAATCTAGAAATGGATTACTCAATATGTAGGAAACAATAAGAACCAAACCAACAAGTCCAATTCCCTCTTTTTATTATTTTTATTTATTATGAGTCATTTTTCCAAATGAGAGTCGTTAGTACGATAATTACCTAGGTTTACCCTCAGGATTTGTTCCCGAGTGTCCTAGGTCGGTTTCCCAAAAACAAGATATCAGAAAAAATACACGAAAAATACATAAAAACCCAAAATAGATCAAAACACATAATAAATCATAAAAATGAAAAAAAAAAAACCAATAAAAAGTCCTAAAATGAGGAAAAACGAAGAACAAAACAATAAGGAAAAATGCAACAAAAAAAGTACAGACAACTCCCCCACACTTAACTCTTTGCTTGTCCTCAAGCAAACAAAACAACAAGCAATTCGAGAAGAAAGATCGAAAAGTCCAAAGTTAATAATCATGCGAAATGAAACTCTCGTCTTCCTCTGGTTATCCATAAAACTCAACTCAAATTTGAAAACACGGTTACCACAAAATGAGTTCAAACGAAACAAAAACTCTTCCCAAGTCATTCTACAAATGATTTACTTGATTCAAACTTCTTTTTTACAAATACACGTGCAAAAAGCTAGAAATAGTTTACTCAATATGTAGGAAACAATAAGAACCAAACCAACAAGTCCAATTCCCTCTTTTTATTATTTTTATTTATTATAAGTCATTTTTCTAAATGAGAGTCGTTAGGACGATAATTACCTAGGTTTTACCCTCAGGATTTGTTCCCGAGTGTCCTAGGCCGGTTTCCCGCTACTCATTGACGCGATCTATCTCGAGTGAGACTACTCGGATCAAGCGGAATCTAGTCCTTTCAACTCTCACGAGCTCATTTAATTACTTTTTTTTTTCGTGAGCTATATTTTTCCAAACAAGGTTTCGGGATGATTATTATCTAGGTTTAGCCTCGAGGGGTTTCCTCGAGTCTCCTAGACTGGTTTCTCGGGCTCATTATCTCATTCCATAAAATGGACCGAAACAATAAGAGCGTAATCTGTACTTCCTTGTGAACTCACATCTTATTCACACATTTTTTTTAGAGGGATGGTAACACAAAGATACATCATGAATATAATAACATGAACATAACAATTCAATCAAGACGTAACATAAGTGTATAGCATAACACGTTAACAACA